GCTGCATGGCGATCAGCATATGTAGATATATAGAGACATTTTTCGAGAGATTTAGATACACACGCACACACACACACACATATATATATATATATCTCTTCGAGACAGATCTATACAAAGATATGTCTTTCTATATCTATCTATATCTATCTATGGATATATATATATATATATATATATATATATACATGGACCCAGGGGTGCGGATGCCAAAGACTCACTTTAGGCGGTGTCATTGCAGTTGACTTGTCAATAGCTGTTTATCGATCCCCCTTGATTGAAGCTCTATATGGAAGGGAAGAACCCATGTCCGGATGAAATGATTAAACCCATACTATAAATGTTTCTTTATCATATTTTATGTGGTCTGGAATATGGGTACCATAATATACAAGTAATAAAGTGGGATGGAGAAACCTTAAAATTCAACGAGGTCTGCATACCACTATGTATAAACACATATGCGCACGAAAACATGATCAGAATTCCTTGTCCCGATTCTGCTGGGGCGCGAACGGTTCGCGAAAGGGTGGCGTGCGGGCAGTTTTCGGGTACCAGAATATTGACCAACTCCGAAAAGATTTGTATGAAATGGAACATAACATAAACCCAATGTGAATTTCAGTGGGACCACTTCATAGCAGGTCCATTTCATAGAATAGGGAACGTCACAAACACCTATGTTGTTTATAAAAGTGCTGCTTCGAGTCTGATAACGTGTCCGAACATAAGCAATAATTTGGCCGTAACATATCTTCAGATACCTTCAAATATCCCCCTTGGAATTTCCTCTACAGAATCAAGAACGTTGGGTCCTGGAAAATGGTGCGTTTTAACCCCCTGCTTTGTTTAGGGGTACCTACCCAGTGTCAACGCTTTCAATTGTATAGAGGACCTTGGGGCCTCTGATTCTATAGAGATTTCATGTTGAATACAGCACTGAGTCCTAGTCAGCAGAAAGCCTTAGCCACTGCGATTCTATAGTTGGATCTGTTCTCTTTGGGTGTATGTCATGTTCTTCAATTCTATAGAGAAGTATTGGCAGAACAAATTTCCCACAACAATTCGTTCATCATCATTGATCATCCTTGTATATAATCGAAGAGGTTGACAGTGAACACTTGGAGCCTTTGAGCTCTATAAAATTGGGAATGCATAAGGTAAGGTAGGCAAGAGCAACTGGAGCATTCAGGTCAGCTGTCAATGAATGACACTTGGGGAGCCTGATTTTATAGAAGGCCAACTAACCCCCCCAACCAAAAAACGGCTCTACGAGAGTGACTTGGGGGCAGCGATTCTAAAGAGATTGTCAACTTGAAAATACCTTGGGGTCTCTGATTCTATAGATGCATTTTCAGAAAGAGGGCCAATGTCTCCAGAATTATCACTATAAAAGTGTCAACACCGTGTGCAGCAGGTTGCAGGTGCGCTTGGGCTATATCACCCGCAAACGCGCTGTGGAAGCAGTCATGCAGCAGGAGAGCGAAAGTCGCCTCCGACGTGAGCAGGCCGAAGTGGTGGCCCAGCTCCAGCCATTGCAAAAGCCATTTTTGCCAGAAGTGGTTGCCCGAGTCGAAGACTGGGCCAAACAGTATTCCATTTTAGATTCTCGGTACAAATTTCTTGTGCTCCGGGCGCCTTCGCGCGCTGGCAAAAGCACCTTGGCAAAATGCCTCCATTTCGTTTTGCCTACGTATATCCAGAAGCCTCCTTTCATTCAAACTGTCCAGGGTGCCACGGCCGCTGAGTTACAACATTACGACAGAGATTCTCACGGCTTTATCCTGTTCGACAATTGCAATTCTATGTCCTTTGTGCTATCTCAGCGGGCCTTATTTCAGGCAAACCCAGACTTTCATCGCTTAGGCCAGTCACAGACGAACATATTCTCATATCAGGTTTATTTATTCAGGGTCCCCATTGTGATCACCATAGATGAATCAACTGACTGGGATGATGACGAACCATGGATTCGCGAGAATCAGCATTTGGTGCAGCTTACCGGCCCGTGTTATCATTTGGAGTAACAGCCTGCATGGGGTAGAGAAAGGCATGGCTTGGGTTAGGTTTGTGAAACCGCCTGCGGGGGAGATTTGGGTCTACAGCTGCTTGAACCCTCAATGTATATATATATAATACATATATATATAATACATATATGTATATTTAATATATATATATAATATACATATATGTATATATAATACATATATATATATATAACATACATATATGTATATATAATGCATACATATATATATAACATACATATATGTATATATATATAATGCATACATATATATATAACATACATATATGTATATATATATATATATAATGCATACATATAAATATATCATACATATATATAATATACATATGTATATATATATAACACATGTATATATATATACACACACACACTATAATATACATATATGTATATGCAATACATGTAACTGTAAGTAGAACAAATTCAGCCAGCCTTCAGAAGAACTCTTTAGATGCCTTGCAAATCAATTTGCTTTCAGCTGGATCGGATAAACTAAAACAAATATGTCTGCATGGCTCAAATTGATCACTTTGTGCTGTTTCTTACCCCCTTTCCTCATTAAACATAACAATCTTTGCTCCTTGACATCCCACTTTGTGGGTACAAAAGAAGCCAATCCCCTTCTTTGAATCGCCATTTAAGTGGCATGGGGTCGAAGAGAAGTTTGCCCTATAACCAGGTAACACTTGGACGATGCAATGTTAACGTATGCAATCGTTTCCCTCAGTGTAAACTTACTGGTGCTAAACGCAGGGAATTTTCGGGAGTGATCCACTGGCTACTTGGTGGCTCATCCCACTTATCCCATTTATAACTGGGGTTATAAGCCACTTACTAACTGGGAGCCACCAAGTACCCTCTGGTAAACTAACATAGCTATTGAAAATGGCCATTTATAGTGAATTTTCCCATTGAAAATGGTGATTTTCCATAGTTATGTTAGTTTACCAGAGGGTAACTACTAGTATCACCCTAATCATCCTAATCATCCCATTCCGCCCAGCATTCCATCCATTCCAGTGGCATCTCAGAGAGGATCTAAAATCAGCCAATCGGCCTTTGGATCCCCGCGACAGATTTCAAGGGGATCCCATTATATCTGGTATTTATATATGGTATATATATTTCTATATATATATGCACCAGGCCCTGCCACCCCCCCCCTCCCCCCCCCATATGGGATGGGTCCCATATACTGGTCCCATATGAGATCTTCCCCCTCCCCCCCTGTGGTGTGGTGGGGGTGTGGCACTGTCCCCCTCCCCCCCCTGTGGTGTGGTGGATGGGTCCCATATACTGGTCCCATATGAGATCTTCCCCCTCCCCCCCCTGTGGTGTGGTGGGGATGTGGCACTGTCCCCCTCCCCCCCCTGTGGTGTGGTGGATGGGTCCCATATACTGGTCCCATATGAGATCTTCCCCCTCCCCCCCCTGTGGTGTGGTGGGGGTGTGGCACTGTCCCCCTCCCCCCCCTGTGGTGTGGTGGGGGTGTGGTATGGTATGGTGGGTATGTATGGTGTGTATGGTCGGTCTGGTATGGCATGTTTGGAAAGTATGGTATGTTTGGTATGTATGGTAGGTATGGTATGTATGGCATGAGTGGTTGGTATTGTATGGATGGTAGGTATGGTATGTAAGTCTGTTGGATATGGTATGTTTGATATGACAGTATGTATGGTCTGTATGGTATGTATGGTTACTATGATGGGTATGGAATATGTCCTATCTAAGGTAGGTATGGTATGTATGGCATGTATGCTTGCTATTGTATGTATGCTATTGTATGTATGGTAGGTGTGGTAATTACATTTCATATGTATGGTATGTATGGTATGTATGATAGATATGATAGGTATGGTATGCATGGCATCATTGACATGTATGGTAGGTACGGTATATGTTCAACAGAGGTAGTGTTGTCAGAGTACACAGGTAGTAAACAGGAAGTAGATACAGTAGATACATAGCACATGTATGTATGACTATAGGTAGCACGTAGGTACTTTGAAGGAGTATGTGTGCTACGTAGGTCGCCTAAAAGGTAGCATGTACCTAGTAAATGCGAGGCTGGTAGTCAGAAATGCTGCAAAGACCTAGCAAATACGACGCTGGACCTCAGAAATGCTGCCAATAGCTTGCAAATAGAAGGGAATTGGGGCTTCTACCTGGGGACCCAACCCATGGGGGGGGGGGGTGGAGAGACGGAGGACGGGACCATATATACATATATATATATGTATATGTATGTGGTATAATTACTGTATATCTTGCTATATGGGCTGCATATTTCGATTCTAAGCCGTTGAAGTGTGATGTTTCTCTGCAAGTTTCAGACGAACGCAGAAGAATTGGCGCTCCAAGACTGGTATCTACCTCCCAAGGGTATCTCCATATGGCAACCCGCCATAAATCACAAGTTGGTGGATGCAATCCCCCCCACTTCTGGCAAGTCGTTGGGATGGTTCATGGCTTTGGGTTTGCCACATTGTTGACGGTTTTGTTGTCCCGATTCACTGTTGCTCTTATGCTTATACTTTGTTGTTTTTTCCCCATTGTCTAGGAGGTTAATAGGATATTTTGTTGTCAGTTTGAAGCAACGATCTCAATTTTTCACAGCAACATCTCCACATGATTGTTTGTAAAAATTGCTAAAGTGGTGTGATTTGATTGACAATTACCAGAAAAAAAAACAATATTAAGAATGGTAACTTACCAACAAAGACCAGCACATTCCAAAAACAATGTCCCTTGATAAGTTACTGAGTTACTGCAATTATTGATGATTTACCTACCCACTGGTAAACATACAAACAGCTATTGAAAATGGGCATTGAAATAGTGAGTTTTCCCATTAAAAATATGGTGGATCTTTCCATAGTTACGTAAACGTTTACCAGGCCGGGTATCAGAAACACAGTGAGGGATGGACTACCCTTGATCTTGGGAGGTGCAGTGTATGGACTCTTCCCACGTGGCCTTGGTTTCCCTGTTGCTGCGCGAATCTGCCTTCTCTGAGTTCCTGGGCGCCAATAAAAAGATGGGGAAAAAAAGAGGCCGGCCTGGAGATTTCACGAATTTCACGATATATTCATAGAAAAATAGACATAACTCACGTGATGAAACATGATTAAACATCATGAAGAATCCCCCAAGAGGGGGGTTTTCTGCAAACTTTAAAAGAAAGCCGTTCAAAAGTTGGGTGTCAAAAAAATTAGCCACCAAAAATTGGATGTAACCGAATCTGACAATCACACAGCTGATCGAGCAAAAATGGATCACATGCAGCAATAGATTCAATAGAAGATGCACCAGTGAATTTTTGACGGGATTTCAAATCTGCCAAGAACATCATGTGAAATTTAATGACAGAGGTGGCAAGCCTGGGAGCAATCATGCGGAAGAGCCTTTCTTGTACCTCTTGTAATATCTTGTAATAATAAATATAAATACAAGTATGTATATATATATATACACATATATATATACACATATATATATATAAGATATTGTACCTCTAAATAAGTACCAACTTGTACCTGATGTGTTTTCTATCCTGGATTCCGAAACCCAATCGGTTCCGATTTCGGACATCGCCAGGTTCAAGTGTGATCGTCCCGTGTCGCTGGGGATGAACATCGACTCCTTGTCCAAGATCTTGAAGATGACCGGCGCCAACGACTCCCTGAAGATCCGCCATCAGACGGACAGTTTTAGGAAAAACAAAAAGCGGGGCGAAGAAGGGGCGAAGAAGGGGCACTTGGCTGATTCTCTTATCGGAAATCGTTTTCGGGCACTTGACAGTACAGAAATTCAACTTTTTCTCCCGAAAACGAGCGGGCTTGGATCCCACTTGAGGTTGTTCGTAACCATAGCTACAAGGCTTTGTACGCAGTGTGACAACCCCCAGTAATTTGGGATGCTCACCAAGGTCAATGTCAACCCCCGAAGAAAGAAGAGTTGATCAGTATGCTCGGCTTCACCAAAATGGTGGTTCCAAAAGAAGTACCTCTCATATCTATCGAAAAATAAACTGGGGGTTGCCTAGTTGCCTAGTCCAATTTTTTTTTGCGGATTTTTCATCTAGAAACCACGAGAAAAGTGTGGTTAAATTATGGAAATAATAATATATGGGTAGCAAATCCAAATGGGGTGTTATTTCATATTCGAGGATGGGGATTATAAGAAAAACCACTAAGATTTCTCATCCAAATCTATGATGAACCCATAAATGGCCCATGATTCACCCACAAATAACCAATAGTTCATCCAACATTAACCCACTAAATTACATCACCCATAACTTAAATGTTTTGTGTCTTGCGATGCTGACCATTTTTTTCGCGTCGCCACCAGGATGCTGACACGGTGAACTTTCAATGCGAGGGCTCGGACGATCGCATCGCAGATTTTGACTTAAAACTCATGACGAAACTTGGGCGAACACACCACTCTGATGGCTCTGATATCAAACACCAGAAAGGGACCATGAAAGACTCTGACATAATGGTTACCCTCTAGTAAACGTTTACATAGCTATTGAAAATGGCCATAGAAATAGTGGATTTTCCCATTAAAAATGGTGATTTTCCATAGTTTTTTGTTAGTTTACCAGAGGGTAATTGAGAATGCCACTGTTTTATTGATTAGGATTCTTCCCATTATTTTAATGTTTTTATTGTTTAACTATGCATATATCTATATTATACATGATTATTATTTATTATAGTGTATAATTATTCAGAAATTACTATTGTTATTAATTATTATTATTGTTATTACTGTTGTTACTAAGTACTATTACTATTATTCCTATTATTACTTTGATTATTATGATTATTATGATTATTACTATGTGTTATTGTGAGCGCACGATGTTGCATATTTACAGTGGTGAACAGGTATGAGGATACGTGGGAGAAAAGTGCAGACAAAACAAGGCGCTGAGCAAAGTCAGTGCGGTGCTACCCTTCGAACAGCATCATATTCACTAAATTGAACATGGACCACCAAAAACGGGGTCTGAAAGATGACTTCCCACAAAAATCTTACTACCAAACATGTAGCAATTTATGGGTTCGATGTTCTTGTCTATGGGGACATTGCTTTTAGGGACACTCCTAGAACATTCCTTTTCATTCATTTAGTTCCGAATAATTCCATTTGATCCCAACTAGTTATTTTCATTCATATTTTTTTCCGTTAAGTCTGTTTTGGATTCATTTGGATTCTTTTGTTTTTTTTGGAACTATTTTTTCCGTTTTGACCATGGCCAATGTCCTTGTTTGTTACTCTTCACATTCACATTGAATCGGGTAGGATCACATGTGTGAGTGTTGGGCACTTGGCATTCCCAGTTTCTGCGTCGTGTCAGAAAAATCACAGCACAAAGAAACTGGACGCCGACCTCCAACACCATCTGGTTGGTGGTGTGGAACATGATTTTTATTTTTCCATTCATATTGGCAATGTCCTCATCCCAACTGACTTTCACTCCATCATTTTTCAGAGGGGTGGGTTGAAACCACCAACCAGATTAATTCATAGGACACTAATGGATATTTATACTATATTGATATATCCAGGATATATATATATATATGGTTGGTGGTTTGGAACATTTTTCATTTTTCCATTTTTTTTGGCAAAGCAAAAAATTCTCCGAGGATTGAAAGCGAACACATGGAGATCCCTGAGCAGCACTACAAGGTGGTGGCAAAGCTTCCCTCCGCCGAGTTCCAGAAGGTTTGTCGCGACTTGAAGGCGGCAGCGGTTTTTTTTTTTCTGGGTTCGTTTTTGGATGTTTGGAGGATCTGCACTTAGATCCAGTAGGGTCAAAAATGCCATGAATATTTTTTCGTTCCCACTTTGAGGACTCACTAACCAGGATTATTAGCCACTTACTAAGTGGGATGATGCTCCAAGTACTGAACCATCCTTTTCGGTGGTGCTTCAAAAACGAGGTTATATAATGCATATGCTGTAAATGACTCTACACTAGAAAAGCAGATTTATTCTGATGTTGCAAGAACATAAGCATTTGCATATACAGTTATTGTGTTAAAAATGACAAATAAGTTTACACAATATTATTTTTATTATATATATACACGTATAAATATAAATATAAATATGAATATAAATATGAATATGAATATAAATACAAATAGAAATACAAATATAAATATAAATATTAAAAAATATAAATATATGTATAAATATAGATATATATTTATCCCCAGAATATCCCCTTGTCTTCATGGGTTTCCCGTTATTTTCCCATACGTTTTTTCCCGCGGTTTTCCTACACTATTTCCATGGTTTTTCCCAATGATTTTCCATGGATTTTTTTCCAGCAATTCCCCAAGGATTTTCGATAATTTCCAATGACTTGCTCATGGTTTTCATGGTTTTTTGCGAGGTTTTTCCCATGGATTTTTCGATGTTTTTACCGCGGTTTTCCCATGATTTCAACGTGGATGTTCTTGGTCCATTCCCCCTTTTGATTCTTCAGGAGTTCGGTGAAACGATTCAGATCCAAGGAACAAAGGTTCGCGACATGATGGGTCGATCATGGGATAACCAACTTGGTAAACGTTAAGAAAAAGCCATGGAACATGGCTATAGAAATCGTGGATTTACCCATTGATAGCATGGTGATTTTCAACATACAAAAAGCGAACTGGAAAATATTTTCAACTAACATAGCGAACTGGAAAATCCACCCATCTTTAATGGGTAAATCATCTATTTCTATGGGCCATTTTCCATAGTTATGTAGGAAATCACCAGAGGGTAACCAACTTGGTGAATGCCATGACTTTGGGGATGGTTTGAATTCCAGGCATTTCTACTGAGTTATTGGGAATGGTGGCATTGGGTTTCAGCACAGTAGCTATTATCCTTATGGTTGAGGGTATTCAAGGATTTTAAACGTAATGCTGGTCAGTTGTGGTTGTAGGAACCTCCAAAAAGATGCGGAAACATCTATGCTTTGACCGCAGAAAAATCTGTCGACACATCAGGGCCCAGCTACAAGGTGAGACATAGAATGGGCATTGGAAAGAGATTCAGCAAGTTGTGCAGGTTATAGTGAGCCGTTGGCTAAACTCGCGATTGCTGAAGATATTGCTGGTTGATGCTGGCCGATATGGTTCAAATGATTGACATTCAAGTATGCCCAACTCTTGAGTCTTGAGGATGCCTAAACTCCCACTTTTTGAACTGTACCTGGTGGAGGTCAATATCCTTCTGGGTTATATCCAAGTCTGGATGCTAAAGATTAGAGTTCCCTACAAAACTTTTCTCTACAAAGCAACCCTGTGAAGTTCGGCATTGTCATTTTTTGGTCTCGAATCTGGTTTAAGCATCTCAGGTCTTGAGCAGAAAAGTTGGGTTGAAACCTGACTCTTTGGAGTATCATTGATCCCACATCCTGTTTATGTTCCTGCATAGCATTTGCATGACCTTGGATGATCCAGATGGGACCCTATGGCCCCGTGATTGGAGAAACTCTGGGCTAAGCTCCGGGCTGCGTTACCTATTGATTCTCACTATCAGTTGTTCCTTATTTGTGTTCCCCATTTCCATTTGCGAAGAAACGCCATTGGTAATGCCATGGACCCATTCTCCAGGATCCCACCATTGGATCAAGGAACCAGGATGATCCAGGGAAGCTCCGAAGATTTGGGGTTAAGAATCCTGGTTTCCTGCAGATTTCCCCCTTAAACCCATCCATTGAATGTTCGACCTGAAGGAAGGCCTGAAGTTCATGGTGCAGGGTGATTTGGGCAGCGGCAATGTGATGTTGAAGCCCCGTGAGGGCGAGAAACCCGAAGAGAAGGTGGGGGGGATCCCTGCGATTTCAATGAAGTTTCTGGGTTCAACCATATGAGTAGAGGCTGCTAAACCCCTGCTGCTTGATTATAGGGGATGATGTTATCCAATGTAATGTATTGGGGATTACCGTAATCCGTTCTGGGAAAGAAGGAATTACAAGGCAACAATCAGAGGTTTAGCCCCCATTTTTAAAAAATATAATATGCAAGACGCATCTAATCCCGTTCATCTATTTCGTTTTTCCTGCAAGAAAACATATGGCTCTATCTTAGCAAAGAGAATCCCCAAATCCATTGGCCAATCATCGTTTTGCATCCTGAAATTTGTTTTTGGGTGGCCAATCGCTCATTTTCAGACATTGCCATATAGCTGCGGTGTTCCAAAAAAAGGCTGTTAGAAACTCAAAAACACGAGAATTCCAGCACCACAATTCCCGAGAGTGGTGCGCTCTGGATAGATTAATGGCTCTGTGGGCCGTTGCAATTGCTTTGGATGTTTGGCTTTAACCAATCTGGGCGAATTACATCTCGACCTCACGTCTCTCGACGTCACTGGAATGATGGTTCATAATTCACAATGGTTTACCAGTGGGTTACTATCCTATGGCCCAACGTTTCAGGTTGGTGGTTTGTCTTGAAATGTTGGGAAAAGCCCATTCTATCCACCGGTGAATCATGATTTTTTTTTCACCGAAAAACACATTCTCCAGAAACGTTAACCATTACCAACCACTATAATGGAAATAAACATGGTATAATTATTTCTAGATTCTAGATATTTAATGGTCCGTGGATATTACTAGATATTACTAGTAATAATACTTGTTATTAACATTTATTAACCACATTAATCACCATGGACCCTTTTTAACAGCGACCATTCTTCTCCCCTGACTTCGGCTAAGTCACCGAGCCATGGTTTACCTCAACGGAGGTGTCGCTCACCGTCCACGAACCGGTCACAGCGACCTTTGCCCTGCGCTACCTGGTGAACTTTTCCAAGGCGCCGGTCATTGGATGGGTTGAACGGTTTAGCCAGCCAAAAATGGTTCATAGAATCCACACATATATCCCAGATGGCCGGTTCTGTTCCAATGGCCGTTGGTGCTCGTTGATATGTTGGGATTCATCTGGGTTTCATCTCCTTGGTCATTCAGATCTGTTGGTCAAACCCTTTGCGATATCACCACTTTTTGGGGTTGGATCCCAATTTTCCCTCTGGTAAACATACAAAAGCTATTGAAAATGGCCATTGAAATAGTTGATTTTCCCATTAAAAATGGTGATTTTCTATAGCTATGTTAGTCATAACCAGAGGGTTTCCCTCGGAGGATCATCATGTCATGGCGGATCAGGCCGAGAAACTCTGCGGCTCGGTGGAGCTTGGGTTGGGGCCTGATGCTCCCCTGCTGGTGAAGTATGACTTGGAGTCCTCTGACAAGGTGCCTTTGAGGGGAGCCCAAGTGCTACTGGTATATATATATATGTATATGTATAATATATATTTATATATATATATATACCAACAAGCTTCAACAAGCCTCAGCATGGTGGCTTCGAAAAACCTGCAAGAGCCCCTCCACTTCCTTTGGGCCTGATTTAGCATCCCAAGTTGCTAAGGGATTTTCTCAACAACAGCGCGGACAGAACGTCGTTTGCAAATGGCGATCTATATAACCACAAGAACATTGGCCCATGAAACAGGCATTTGATTTGGGAGAAGCAACACACATGTATAAGCCATTTGAGCCATTTATCCTAAATAAAATGGGAGGGAATGACACTGGATTTCCCGCCGGCAGGGGCACATGCAGTTCTACCTGGCCCCAAAGATCGATGAGTGAGGCAACAAAAAGTTGGCATGAAGGGTGATGGGTTCTCGGGTGCGTTTAGCAAGAGATTGGCTCTGTGATCATGGCCCGTTGCTTTGTTCAATGGATCCTTTTGCTGGATTTGTTTCGTCGAAACAAATGGCTTTTGGCCCCAGAGTTTGGAGTAAATCCTGCAGAGTTTCTCCAAATTCAGCCAATTCCGGGAGTTGTGCCGTGGGAGCTTCTCTCTCTGTTTTGAGTGTAGGTTAGCAGCGGCTTTCCGCTGCGCGGTTTACGCAGGTCCCGTCCGCGTTCTCGACCTGGGCGGCACTGCAGGGGAAGCAGTGTAGAGCTGGTCGTGTGAAAGACTGCGATCAAAAGGTGCGATCAAATGCTTCATGATGGTTAATCATTCATCATGCTTTAAAAAATGGGTTATTATGGTTAAATGATGGCATAATACTTGATTAATAATGGGTAACATTAATAATATAAAAAAGCTTCCCTTTCGGTAGCCAAAGATGGCAAGCTGGGAAATCCCCTATAGGCCCTGAGGTCATGGGAAAATATACGGGAAACTCATTGAAGTAAATGTGGGATTTTCCAGCAAGCCACGTTTGATTTGCTGGGCTTGCAGCCAAGCTATAACTTTGGCATAGATTCACGGAATGCTCAATGGCCATGCAACAGGAAGCGATTGATTGGAGGTACCGATTCCATAGAACAAAGGCCTATTTTTCAGGCCTAAATTTCAGGGAATATCCCCAGAAAATATGGCCAAACATATGGTACTAACGTACCTCCATTTTAGGATCCTGAAGATCTCCCATTGAGTAGTGGGGTCTTAGCCACCTATGAAAACCAGTTGCGATCCATGGGATGGTCCTCCAACGCTAAATCCAATGGTTTGAGACCCCGTTTCCTCTATCAAAATATGGCATTGAAAATGGGTATATCCAATTTTCAATCAGATCCAAGTTTTTCAGAATTTGGTATGCTGCATATTTTTAACTCAACAAGGCATTGATTCAATTGATGTCTCGAACAGAGATTTCAGTGGGGTATCCCAGCTAAAAATTTCCCATCTAGGCTTCCTAAAAGCTCCCCGCGATGCGGATTTCAGGCTTCCTTTGCTGAGGTAAACCCCTCATCCCAATCCAACCATCACCGGGCTTTGCCAGAAATTGGGTAATTTCATGGTACCCTCTGGTGAACTAACATAGCAATGGAAAATGGCTATTTATAGTGGATTTTCCCATTAAAAATGGTGATTTTCCATTGCTATGTTAGTTCACCAGAGGGTATACTCCTAGAAATGGGATGATGTTTAGTCTGATCCCCAGTCATGGTAGGTTGCTGGGATGGTTTAGTTCTAACATTTTCCGAGGTGTCGAATTCCGATCTATTTTCCACATCATTTCCCTATCTGTTTCCATTGTTTTGTCCATGTATTATTCCATGTGATCCTAGTATTGTTCTGTGTCCATTCTCACTTAATCAATTGATATTTATCGTTTTTTTGTAGATTGTTCAGCCAATTGACACACCGATAAATCAACACTTTCATGCCTGGATCAAGGGGGAATATGACCATCCTTGGCGTCTTTGGGATACTCCAGTCGAAGGAAATCCCGTTGCCGTGCACGCCGGCAATCCCGTAGAAAGGTTCTGGGGCATGGCCGTTACACGTCATTCAAACTTCAACCACAAAATCATTGCTATTTACAAGAACAGTTGAATTCACAAAGCAGTGCAAGCAGCATCTATTTTTCTTCAGAAGGGCCCCAAACACACTTATTTGCGTCTTTTTTAGAGCGTTTTGATCCATAAAGTGACCAACAACTTTTGAATACACATATTTGAGCTTCAATCAGCAAAAACACTGTTATTCAAAATGTAGCATAGCTTTCAAACATCTGATATTTGGAATCTTTTGTGCATACTGACTGTGGTATTCCCTGAAAAGCAAGTTTTCAGACTACATCCTGGGTCAATCAATCCCAAATTGGGGAAGTCAAGTGGTGAGTTCCACTCCATGCCTAAAACAGGCGATGAAACTTGGAATGAGACTTATTTCAGGCCGGCAAAACATCAAAATGTCTTCATATTTCACTAGAATAGTTGATTGATGTTGATTGCATTTCATTTTTTATGGAGTTTTCCTTATTCCTACTACATGTGCTCTCCACATATTTAGGGTGGTGCTGGAGTGCAGGCATTCAATGTCGTGGGAGCATGTTGTTCAATCATGATGTGTGAGGCCGTTGGCCCAGCAGAGCAGATCCGAGATGACCTGTGGAAGAGTTGCATTTCAATCAATGGTTTCGCCGCACAAAATACCTCACTAGGTGATTCTATGCCCGGGTAAAAGGAGAATCAGCATTTCGGTGAAAAACATAACTTTAATTAGCCCCGATCATATGGCCCTCAGATCCACGACAGTATTGTTGTTTGACAAGCTGCCATTTTCTTCCAACGTTCATGCGTTTTTTGTTGTTTGAATTTGGGTCTGAACCCCAACCAGCGAATGAAGATCCCAGTTACACAATCTAAAATCAGATTTCTGACATCTAGAATTGTTGATCGTACCTGTCCTGCCTGTAATTCTTCACCCACTTGTGTTGTTTTTGTGCCCATTTCAATAGAAATGTATATTCAGCACCAAATCGTATGGTTCAGCACCTCATTTTCCCAAGAATTGCAATGCATTTCCCATGATTTTCCATTTCTTGGTACCATCTGGTTATTTAACATAGCCATGGAAAATCACCATTTTCAATAGGTAAACCATCTATAAATGGGCCATTTTCCATGGCTATGTTAAATAACCAGAGGGTATTTCCCATGATTTTCCATTTCTTGGTAAATCTAGCACCTTCACACCATCGCAGCAACTTGTTTTGTCGCTCCATGGGTGCACGGCTGGCAACAGCCTTGGGCTTCACCGTCGCGACTGCTTGGCGGAGCGAGTGTGACATCGAGGGCTTAGATGTGCAGGTGCCAAGGGATGTGGTGAACGACATGGTTTGACCATGAACGAACAAATAATATACCATCTGGTTATTTAACATAGCCATGGAAAATCACCATTTTTAATAGGTAAACCATCTATAAATGGGCCATTTTCCATGGCTATGTTAAATAACCAGAGGGTAGGATTAAAACACCCATTTGGGAGTAATTTCGGAATGGTTTATACCACATGGTCGATTATCGACCTAAACCATGTTTTACCCACATTCAGTATCGTGTGATTCTAAGGTGATTCAAATGGAATTTCATAGGATTTAGATAGTGGGGATTTATATAACGATATTTGTAATGTGATTTTAGTGGGATTTCACCGGAGGCCATTCCAGTAATCAAACATATATAATCATATATATATATACAGAGTTTGCGGGTAAATCCCCTCTCTAGATGGGTATTTGATCACCCATGTTTGATTGGGGGTTTACTAAAGTGGGAAACCCCAAAACCATCCTAAAGTTGCCATTTTCAATGGGACAACCAATGGTTTTAAGGTCCACAACTTTAAACTTTTAAGAATCCTGCAGCTCTTTCAGTTTGCCAAGTTTTCCCCCAAGAACTTCATTCACAATTTCACAATTCAATGATTACTAACTTACTAAGCCAGCAAATTAACCCATCTAGATTACCTCAATTCAATGATTACTAACCCAGCAAATTAACCCATCAGTTATTACCTGGCAAGAACTATTCTCCAGCCTTTCACCAATCTTTTGCTCGGCGGATCGCCACCGATTTCCCGCCAATCTCTGCCAGGTGACGATCCATGGATTTGGATCCGATGCTGAGGCAGATGGCCGAGATATACCAAACCTGGTTATGACTAACAGTTTGCCATGGGAAATGGTGGCCCGTAGAAATAGATGGTTTACCTATTGAAAATGGTGATTTTCCATGGCTATGTTAAATAACCTGGTTATGACTAACAGTTTGCCATGGGATATCGATGGCCCTAATCGAAATAGATGGTTTACATATTGAAAATGGGTGGATTTTTCATGGCGAACTGGCACAAATAACCAGATGGTAGGTATATGTATACATGTGTATATATGACTGTCTAGTGTTTGGCAGACCTGGGTGGACAGTGGTCATTTCTTGGGGGTTGGTTTTCCATAAGGAATAACAAATGCCAATTTTGGCTCAAGTAACTTGATCCAAAATAGCAGCATAAAGTTTTCCTTGCCCTCCCTAAATCAGGGTCCCCTGTGGGGTAACTGAAAGAAAACTCGAAGTCTGCGCTGCAGATGGAGTCTTTGCGCAGGACACTGCGAATCCCTACAGATTGAAGGGGCTTAACTGTCTCAGTAGCCGGGTGTGAATAGATATCTGGAGGTGATCCAGCATATCTCAGCCTGACTGACACAGGTTGCCTCCACCAGCAGGGCTGATGGATCTGTAGGCATACCCAACGCATTATCCTGTAAGGAATACAGGTTGAAAGACACGGTGAGAAAGATGAACGGAAAAAGAGCGAGCGTGCCAGAGAGTCTGTGGGTTAGGCCCTAACCTAGTTGACTTATATTCGAACCTTTAAGGAATGTATATATATATATATAATACATACATACATACATACATACATACATATATATATATTAGAGATTAGACGGATGTAAAGATGGATAATTCATAATTAGATAGACAGTCGACATTTTTTGATCACCCAGGATGCGCCCGCGTGCCGCGTGGTGTGGCTGGACCACCAGGATCTGCAAAAGATCGACGCTTCTGCGTTGGCAGGCGGGAACGACACGGGCATTTTATGGCAATGACCAATTTTGATTGGGAAGTTGGCATTTTATGGCATTTTATGTCATTTTGATGGGGAATGAAGGGCTAGTAGTGGGTAATTCGACCATTTACGAAGGGCTAATCATGGGCAATTCAACTATTTTGATCCGTAATATTTGAGAATTAATAGTAACGTTAGCTCATGGAACAGTTATTATATAATGTCTAATACAAAAAACATGTTTTAACCTGAAATGGTTCATCATTAACAATCAATGGGTCAATCACTTAGACTTTGCCTGAACATTTCAGAAACATTGCAAAATCGACTGGTTTTAAATCACATTTTAAAACAGCCAGGATTCAGGGGCATACATGGTAATACCAATTTTTAGAGGCACCGACATGTTTTTCGCAGGTACTTTCCAGTACGTAGATTAACAGTACTCGTAGATTAAGATACTGTAGATACGGAACATCTACCACTTGTAGATAATTTTCCTTGGAAACCATGAATTTCCATATCTACATCAGTGTACCGGAGAGTAAGAAAAGCGGACAGTTATTTTTCACACGGTCGGATGGAATGCGCTTCCACATTTTGAGACAAACCCCCATCATGGAGGTTAAGTGGAGACTTAAGCACCAAACATAAAGACAGACTCTGGACATTGAGAGTTTCACCGACAATGATTGTGACAAAGGGAGACGGCCCATGATGGCGTTGTGAACCAACAAATTGGACATTAGCCAGCAAAAAGAAAAAATGCGGTGATTGAATGGAAACAAACTATTGGTGGTTGCTAGAGTACCTACATGTAAACCCATCTGTTTCTTTCCTGAGTTGGAAGGATGAGTTCAATTCTGGCGGAGCATGGTTTAGAAAATGACACCCATGCGGACGATGAACTTGGAAGTATTCTTTTACTGTATCTACTTCCATGGGATCCCAAAATCATCCCAGGTTGGCCCTTTGAAGAGGGAAACGCATGATTTTTGGGGTACCCCAATTTTTAGAAACACTTATTAAAATTGTTTTTGCGTGACATTTTGACCGATCACCTTTTGCAAACACGAATTGTCTGGCGTCATTCGTTTTTTTTAGCTTTCTCGGGCAACCAGTTGGTGTTGCAGATGCTTTTTGTTATCCATCCGTGGATGGGATGAATATCCACAATTGACAATGATTTCAAGGATGGGCTGAAAGAACCAATCTAGGAACCCCACTGATCCAAGATGGAGGATTTCTTAATTTAGTCAATACCATGGACGTCAGCAAAATCTCATCGTAAACATCGCATGACATCACGATCCTGACGCTTGGGGGGGAGTGTGAATACAAAGGTTCGGACCACTGCAACCAACGTTTCGAGATCACTTCAACCCGGAAGTTCCAAACCCGGGCGTCTCCATTTTCCAATTTTTCATTCCAGTTTTTGGAATACTGATCAGCAAACATCTACCAGCTGTGATGGACCAACTAATAGTTTTCGAGGAACTTTTGAGCCAGGAACTTTTGAAAGGAGTTTTCAAACCATTTGTCAATTGGAACAATTTCCAGTTTTCCCATCATATTCAATTTATACCCCATGAAATCCAGTTAGTTGGATCATCGATTTTCACCATAGTTTCCCACGAAACATTTGTCTCCACATTGCAAAAAATATAACCCCATCATGATTTTCTACCCTTATCTCCTTTCATGTGGTAAACCCAATGCAATAAAACATCCCCAAATCACCATTTTTATGGATAAAATTTCAACCATCCCCAAATTGTAGTTTTATGGCATTGGGTTGCCAACATTATTACCATCATGAATATCATTATTCTGTTTGTTGCGATTATCGTAAAGATCATAATTATCAATAGGTATCATGGCAGTTGTCATAATTATCCATATTTTTATCGTTATCCCCATATTTCCAGATGTTTGTTGGTTAATGTTGGTTGTAGATTCATAGATATCTATATGTTATAATGGAAATGTTGGTTAATGTTGGTTAATGTTGGTTAATGTTGGTTAATGTTGGTTAATGTTGGTTAATGTTGGTTGTTGGTTAATTAAGGGGGCTAAATTATCCATGATTCCTGTTGCTGAAATCAGCCGCCGGTCGCCGATGACTGAGGGGTGGACTACGTCTTCACCGACTCGCGACTCTATGCGCCCTTTCGGGGACGCAATGGGGCGGTGCCTGGGCCAAGCGGGGCCGGAAGTGAAGCCATAGGTGAAAAAATCATGAACATGTTCAATCATATAGGGAAACAAGAACAAGAAATTAATGAACATGTGGTATATAGGGAAATAATTTGGAAATTAATGAACATATTGAAAATCATTGGGAAATGATAGGGAAATGATAGGAAAATAATGGGGGAATAATAGGGAAATAATTAGGACATGATAGGGAAATACTAGGGAGCGAATAGGGAAATAATAAGGAAATAATACAGACATTAAAAGGGAAATCATATGGACATAATAGAGAAATAATAGGGAAAACATGAGACATAATTGGGAAATAATAGGAAAATTATAGGGAAATAAGGACATAATAACGAACATAATAGGGAACTAATGGAGAAATAATAGGAAAATAGTAAATAATAGGGAACTAATAGGGAAATAATAGGAAAATAATATGAAAATAATAGGAAACCAATAAGGAAATAATACGGACATTACCAGTAGTACCGCACAAGGTGGTGGCGGAAGTTTCAGAAATAGGAAACCTATAGGAGAGGTTGGTTGTTGTGAATCACGGATGGCAGAGCGAATCCACTGATGGACCGAAAGGTGGTTGGAGTTGTGTTTTTTGGAGTGGTTGCAATCGTTGCAGTGGTCACCTCACTTGCAACTCCTGGATGTAGTGTGGTGTAGCGCAGTAGCTGTAGTTATAGTTGTAGTTGTTGTAATTGTAGTGATGTTGATGTTGTTGAAGTTGTAATAATGTAGTTGTAGTAGTAGTAGTAGTAGTAGTAGTAGTAGTAGTAGTAGTAGTAGTAGTAGTAGTAGTTGTAGTTGTTGTAGTTGTTGTAGTTGTAGTGGTGTTGATGTTGTTGAAGATGTAATGTAGTTGTAGTAGTAGTAGTAGTAGTCGTAGTAGTCGTAGTAGTCGTAGTAGTCGTCGTCGTACTAGTAGTAGTAATAGTAGTAGTAGTAGTAGTCGTCGTCGTCGTACTAGTAGTAGTAATAGTAGTAGTAGTAGTAGTAGTTGAAGTTGTAATTGCCTTACTTCTAGTAATTGTAGTAGTTGCAATAGTTGTAGGAGTTGGAGCTGTAGTTGTAACTGTCGTGTAGTGTCGTGGTAATTGTTGTAGTAATAATAGTGGCGTAGTTGAAGTTGTAGTTGAAGTGTAGTTGTAGTGTAGCTGAAGTGGTAGTTGTAGTTGTAGTTGCAGCTGTAGTTGCAGTTGCAGTAGTTGTTGCAGTTGTAGTTGTAGTTGCAGTTGTAGTTGTAGTAATTGTAGTTGAGGTTGTAGTTGTAGTTGATGTGTAGTTGAAGTTGTAGTTGTGGTTGTGGCTGTAGTTCTTGTAGTTGAAGTGTAGTTGAAGTGTAGTTGAAGTTGTAGTTGTAGTGGTAGTGTAGTGCAGATGCAGTTGTCTATCTATCCGTGTCTATCTAGGTCGAATCTAGGTATTTGTTTATCTATTAATTTGTCTGTCTGTTTATCTATCTATCTATCTACCTATCAATCTATTCTATTCTACTCTACTCTACTCTATTCTAATCTATTCTATTCTATTCCATTCCATTCCATTCCATTCTATTCTATTCTATCTAATCTATCTTATCTATCTAATCCATCTAATCCATCTAATCCATCCAATCCATCTAATCCATCTAATCCATCTAATCCATCTAATCGATCTAATCTATCAATCTATCTAATCAATCTAATCAATCTAATCTATCTAATCCATCTAATGCACCTAATCGATCTAATCTATCTAATCTATCTAATCTATCTTATCTATCTAATCTATCGAATCTATCTAATCGATCTAATCGATCTAATCGATCTAATCCATCTAATCCACCTAATCCATCTAACCGATCTAATCCATCTAATCGATCTAATCCATCTAATCTATCTTATCTACCTAATCTATCCAATCTATCTATCTATCTATCTATCTATCTATCTATCTATCTATCTATCTCATCTATCTCATCTATCTCATCTATCTCATCTATCTCATCTATCTCATCTATCTCTTCTATCTTTTCTATCTTATCTATCTTATCTATCTTATCCATCTTATCCATCTTATCCATCTTATCTATCTATCTATCTATCTTTCTATCTATCTATCTATCTATCTATCCATCCATCCCTTGCGCCTGCCACGCGAAACGACACCTGAACGTCCAAAAGTGGCGCGAACATGTGGTGTTTTTAACATTTTGACTTCGAAATTTGCTTCGGGCCGCAACGGTGTGCACTTTTTCGACATCTCAACTTCCAAAAGTGGTCCAAACCTGGTGTGTTTTGTACATTTTGACTTCGAAATGTGCTTCGCGCCACAACGGCGTGCACTTTTTGGAAAGCGCAACTTCTAAAAGTATTCCGGAGCTGAGGTGTTTTGTACATTTTGAGTTGGAAATGTGCTTCGCGCCACAGCTGCGTGCACTTTTTCATCTCTCATCCCAGATGGCTCCGCACCCGCCACTTTAGCGAGCCTACTTGTCGACCCTCCAGACCCACAAATCATTGGAAAAACAGTGTTTCGCGACTTTCCTACCTTTTCGCGCACCTGGATCTTCTTTCTTCTGAGACTTTCTCTTTCTCTTTCTTCTTCTCTTCTCTTCTCTTCTCTTCTCTTCCTCTTCTCTTCCTCTTCTCTTCTCTTCTCTTCTCTTCTCTTCTCTCCTCTTCTCTGACTCTTCCCATCTCTGCTTTTCATCTGTCCATATTGTCGCAAGTTTGATTTCTAAAACTTCCTTCGAATTCGAATAGGGAGATCATAGGGACATAATAGAGAAATAAAAGAAAAATCATAATAGGAACTTAATGGGTAAATAATAGGGAGATAATAGGGCAATAGTAGGGAAATAGTAAGGTCATAATAGGGAAACCATAGGGGAATGATAAGGACATAATAGGGAAATAATAGGGAAACACTAGGGGCATACGAAAATAATAGGAACATAGGGAAATAATCGGAAAATAATCGGGAAATATTAATAGAGACACAATAGGAAAATAATAGGGAAATAATAATGACATAGTAGGGAAATAATAGGGAAATAATAGGGACATAATCTTGAAATAATAGGGACGTACTAGGGAAGTAGTAGGAAGATAATATGGAAAACTTAAAAAACACTAGGGAACTAATCGGGAAATAATAGGAAACTAATCGGGAAATAATAGGGAAATAATGGGGACACAATAGGGACATAATAGGGAAATAATAGGGAACTAATAGGGAAATAATCAGCAAATAATAAGGAAATAATAGGGAAATAATAGTGAAATAATAGGGAAATAATAGGGACATACTAGGGACAAAATAGGGACATAATAGGGAAATTATAGGGAACTAATGGGGAAAATAATCAGGAAATAATAGGGAAATAATCAGGAACTATGCATATTTGCTGGGCTGTGTCAAGGGAAGCCGTGAACCAAACGTGGGATATTTATATTTAAACATATGGCCCATGACCAGTCGAAGTTGGCATTTCACCTGCAAAAACTGGATTTTCCGACCAGAAAAGGGGGCCTGTCCCATAAGGTATCATTTACTATATCAGAGAAACCTTACCGTCAAAGATCCCGGATTCCAACATGAATCGAACCTCGACAACGAATACGTACTATGTGGGTCTGGATAAAAACCGAAGCGAAAATAGGGCTGTTTACGGTCAGTTTATTATGAGACATCCACGTGCAGTCCATTGTGTCCATGTTTTGGAACAGCAGGTTGGGTAGGCAAAATGACCCGTACTAGTTACACGTAAGGTTTCTTCACCTCAACTGCAAACCCGGTTTGATATCCTAGTTCTTTTGGGGGTTTCCTGAAGGGAGACTACCAGAAAACCATTCACGTGCAACATCCAAGTCCCCATGGTCATTGCCCATTCCATGAAAAGTCATTCTGATTCTTGTTGGTTGGTTGTTTTTGGTTGTAAACGCTGATTGGTGGGAATAATAATATATTGGGAATAATATTATCGGGAATATAATCCCAACTGACTTTCATTTTTTCAGAGGGGTTGAAACCACCATCCAGAACGTGTCATAGATGTTTTTGTTGGCATTGCCAAATATCGAACCGATTTAACCTTCTGAGTGTATCTGAAAATGGAGTACACTGAGTACATTCCCAAATGGCCGTTGAAATAGGGATTAAACCAATGATTTGGGGGTACCCCATTCTTGACTAAACCCATGTGGTTAGTTGATTACAAGCTAATTGGATCCAACCGATGTTATTTGGTTGATTATGGTTGAGCTAATGATATTTGTTTTGGTGACCATCCCCCTGACTTGAGATAGACCTTGCCAAACAGGTGATTGGAAGATAATTCTGTCAGCAAAACATGGGTTATTCTCAGGGTCGTGCTGTTCATTTTCTTGCATGGTAAATTCATTTTTCTAGCGGTAAAATCCCAATGATTGCTGGTTGAATTCCACTAATCACAATTGATGTCGTTGAATAGTCATCATATTAGGTGGGGCATGGTAAACAATAAGCAACAATTGATGGCATTACCAATGATGATGGCAAATCAACTACTATGATAATCGTAAATATGACGATTGATACTCATCTTCTTGTGATCCCTGCAGCTTCCCTTGTGCTCAGCTCCTCTTCTTGGAGAATATCTCTGAGTTTCACGTCCCACAGGAGACCCTGGGAATCCCTGGGACCCCTGGGGCCCATGATCCCAGGGGTTGGGGTCAGTTTCCAGAGATGGATGCACTCAAAGTATCTACCCTCTGGTAAACATACAAAAAGCTATTGAAAATGACCATTTATACTGGATTTTCTCATGAAAAATGGTGATTTCCCATAGTTATGTTAAATGACCAGAGGGTACACTCGCCATTTTATCGTTTAGAAAGACTTCCAAATCTTTCTTGAGAGCAACTGCAAGAAGTTTGCTGCAAGGATATGTTTTTTTAGTGATATGAGTTGTGTTTGAAATTGATTTCCCAGAGAGAAGTCATAGGAATATTGTTTCTCAGGATGTTTGAAGACACTTCGCTTTTTCAATTTATCTGGGCACCATGATTCATTCATAAAACATGTTTGTGGGTTCAATTCACACACTTGATAGTCACATGCCCATCTATGAATCTATGATGCATACCCCACGATATACTATATAACACCTGCTGTTCTTGATGGTAATCCCGCCTGTCATCAAAATTCCAGAAACTCGGACGTCACAAGAGCGGAATGTCTTGACGTCGTAGGATCTACAACCCTATTCACCAGAGAAGCCCTGGTCATTTTCTTCTGAATCCGAAAATCAGATACACCAATTTGGTCCCCCAAAGATGAATAGATCCAATACTGAACCAGGGTTTCTATGTGTTTGATATTAGGGGCAGGTGAATGCCTCCCACGAATCCTATTTTCCCAGGGTGTTCCATTCCAGTCAACGAACCTCGAAGTGCCATGATTTCTGGGTGCGAAATCAACACCGCCAATGATCGGGGCTGCTGCACAGAAAACTCTGTTTGGAAGGCTCGACAAATCCAATTTTCCGACCTTTCTCCTTTGTGGCGAATTTTCATGATCTCCAATCACTGAAGATTCAAAGGTTTCAGGTTCCACCAAGAAAACCGATGGATATCCAAGTAGAAAAACCATCTACCAATTTCTTTCCAGCTTCAAAGTCCTTATTCCCACAGGCGCCGGATGGTTCGTATATCGAATTGTTGGCGCTTGGTTGTCATCCCCCCTTCCTCTCTTCGGTACCCCAACCTGACACTGGACAATCCCTGAAATCGATGATTTCCCCGTTCTTTTCCAATCAGAAAAATCGGGGATGTCCTGACTGGGTGGTCATTACTTAGATTATTTAGGGGTCATAGCAACCCAAAAAAGTAGACTGGTTGGTGGTTTGGAACATTTTTTATGACTTTCCATATACAGCCCGAGCGCTGGTTAAGAATCCGAAAGCTTGAGGTCCAGGGTCCCTCAAATTCTTATTTTTAAATGCAGGCGAATTTACACCAAAACAGGCCGAGGGTCCCTCAAATTCTTAGGGTATTCTTAGTTATGTATTGCATGCATCTGCACAAGTTGGAGCAAGCTTAAACGAGGTAACAAGGTGGAGTTGGCTGATTTGACAAGAGGCATGCGAAAAAATGATTTTTTAGAGCCTGAAAAAATGATTTTTGCAAAGCCGGGCTTGTCTGAGTTTCATGAGAGCAGTACGGAAAAAAAACAATTTTTTAGAGCCTGAAAAATTGTTTTTTTTGTAGGCTAGTATGAATTTTATAAGGTTAGTGGGCAAAAAACAATTTTTTGGAGTCTGAAAAGTTTTTTTTTTGCAAAGCCGAGCGTCTCAAGTTTCATGAGAGCAATGCGGAAAAAATTAGAGCCTGAAAAATTGTTTTTTTTGCAAAGCCATGCTTGTATGAATTTTACAAGGTTAGTGTGCAAAAAACAATTTTTTGGAGCCTGAAAAATTGTTTTTCTGCAAAGCCTCCGTGTTCTTCAAGCTATTGAGGAAAACAATGTTTCAGGTCCCCATAGCCTACCCACAAATGGATTTTGGGTGGATTGGAAGCAGTCCAAGCATGTGCGAAAAAAAAATCGGAGCTTGAAAAATTGTTTTTCTGCAAAGCCCAATTTCATCCCGTAAGACAATATAAGGGGTCACGCCAAAAATGAACCGCAAAGGGGAATTGCAAACCTCACCTATAAGCAGTAATTTGCAATCCTATTCCAGGGTCCCTCAAATTCTTAAAGTACTATGTGTTTGGCATACCTGAAAATATGTAGCCCGCCTTGGATTCGAGCCCCTCAAATTCTTATACAGTGAATTCTTGAACAATACTCAAGCTGTATTGGAAATAATAACCCCAACTGACGAACTCATATTTTTCAGAGGGGTAGGTATACCACCAACCAGTAGAGGTAAATTTCATCTTTTCTGCCTTTGTGGGGGTTACTACATGAGGATGGGTCGAAAAAAAAACCGATGAATTTCCCATATGACTAGGGGAATCAAGCTCCAATACCTGCAGGGGTTTGACCACCTACGATCCACATGATCCTGCCTTTCAGGACCTTGATGGCATCATGGAGAGAAAATCCGAGTTGCTCTCAGTCTTGATGCCGTCAAGAGACAGGCAGGACGGCACCGCAGGACGGCACCTGGCCTTCTGTGGTGCCGGGACGAGTCAGCAAGAGAAAAATATGGCCTATTTAATCTATATTTTTATAGATTATATCTGTGTAATTATACATTATACATGTGTTTTTACATATAATGTGTATGTTATGTACATGTATATAGCTACGTTAATGTTTATAAACACATATACATTTCCTACATAGCTACATTATATTTTTTATATTTTAGCTTGGGTCTCATGGCACTGCCGTGCCCTGCAAGGTGGGACGACCTCGCCACCGAAATCCACCGACAGGTGCCAGACACTGTCGGCGAAGGAAGGGATTTTAACCAGAAAACAAGTAGGTTGTACCAGGGGAGTTGGTCAAGAAATTTAAGCGTTTATATTGGGAAGAAATAGTAACGTCATGAAGTTTGTTCAAGAAAACCTGCTTGCGTGGTGGCGAAATCCCCACCCTCTGGCCACTACAGATCGTGAATATTCCAGTAACATGCTGACTTCTGCATTAACGGTATATAATATCCAAGAGAAGAAACCCCATAGAGACTGTGCACGCTTGTAAATGGTTGCAGTGGCTTTTCCAACGAAAGAATTTCTAAGCGATGGACCCAATGGCGTCGGCCCAGCATGGCCCTCTCCAACTTGCTGTGCCAGTCTGGTTCCGGCTCTGTCTGACGCAACCGTGATTTGAATCAACGAAAGAGCTCTCAAACGCAATTCGTCAGGTGAAGTTACTGATGCAGCCAGTCTAGCACGTTTCAAAGTTCTGGTCAAAACTGGGGCCGGTGCCACTCGGGAGGAGTCCCTTCACTTCCGACGTTCAATGCAAAGTCACGCATTCCAACCACTGACTGTCCCAAATTAGGCTCAGCATGACTGAAAGCTCTCTTTGGATTCAAAACTGGACTGCAAATAATCTTCCTATATCTCTTTTGGGGAATCCTCCCTGGATCTACTCGGATCAGTTGTGAACTGAGGTTCTTGATGACAGGAATCCCTGAAGCAGGGCCTGAAGTGCCGGTGTGGCACTGCGAAAAGTGCGACGGCTGGCACCGCACAGAGAGGCAAGTATCGGAACCATGAAACATGGTCTTAAGATGTCTTAAGAATTCAGCAGCATTTTAATGATTGTTTTGGAAGAATTTCAGTGATTTGGCAGGTGCCCGCACTTCCAAAAAGAGCGCGAAAAGCACAAGGATGCATGGGTTGGGAGCCCAAAGGCGACTTCAGCGGATCTGCTGATCGCGCCACATACATTTGCATACCAAGGTAAACTACGGCAACTGCCACGAGATGGGACGAAGTGGCGGGAACTTCGTCCTGCGGCCCAACCCTCAAAGCAGAACCAACGTGTGGAACATTTTGGAACATCTTTTGCACCGATGTTTTTCTTCTTCCATTCTGGGTCCGTACTGCTCAACGGATGTCAGGAATGCAAGGGTCATCCCCCAGCCGGGGGATTCCCTCAACTATGGCGCGGTGCCAAATGAATCAGATGGAAATGGACATGTTTGAGGAGGTTCCTTAAATGGTGGCATGTAAGTTGGTAATTTTGTAAGTACCCTAGACGTCCAAAGGCTATTTTTTAGAGGGTCGTTCCTAGAACCACCATTTTCCGGGAAAGACTATTACTTAGATATGGGGGTTTTGCCAATCACGCACCCATATGGCCCACAGTGCCCAAGACAGATATTTTCACACCACCCTGCATTATCCAAGATATCGGCGACTACGAATCCTTAGAAGGCAAAAGGATCGTGGCATTAATGCCATGATAGGGCCACAGCATATGCTATCGCATCATACATGCTACTGAGAATCTCCTTCATCCTGTATTTCATCGATACCAGCCTGGCATGGCATGGTTAATGTTACCACTGGATTCCTGGTGCAATGGGGGAATGAAACATCCTGCGCACCTCAAACGCTGACATTTCAAGAGCCACAAAGGCCGGAGTCTGGCATTGGCAAATCTTGCGCAACCTGAGATCCATGATCATATATATAATAACAGGAAAGGAAAGCAAGGAACCACATATGTCCTTGCGAGATCTATATTTTTTTCTATTTTTTGTTATGTTAGACATCCACTAGACTAAAATATTACTTGGACTAAAATATAGCCTTTGGACCTCTAGGGATATACTATGATATACTATATAGCGTTTATATGCCAATATAATGTCTTTTAATGGTTGCATGGCAAGCAGCTCTTTGCCCCTCGCATAGCATCTTCATCGGTAAACGTGTGAAAAAATCTGCAATTCTTTCCTTAGGTTTGGGCAGTGCTCTACACCCCAGAGTGGAAACAGGGATTTGCAATAATGTGTTTTTTTGAACGTTCGGTTGATTACATATTGCATGCACACAATTTGGTGATACTTACTTGGGTAGCTCACCCTCTGACAATTAGACTAGCCATGCATGGAAAATGACAGGAATCCCTGAAGCAGGGCCTGAAATGCCGGTGGGGCCCCCTGCATCCCAAACGCCTTGACCATGCTCCAGCAAGAATAGAATAAACATTAGTCAACATGAGTAAGCTGGTGAGTTTGGGGGTTCCAAGATTATGCCATACTTATACCACGGGTATTGTGCCATAGTTATGCCAAAGCTATACTTATACTTTTACAGAGAGGACATGCCCCCCACACCGGCCCCTGAGCGATAGAAAAGCGGGGACACATCCGTGGCATTCTCAATTCTTGTTCAAGAAAGGGAGATAAATTAAAAGATCCTAACATCGTTTCTGGTAGATTATAGTGCTGGAAACCAATGATTGAGGCCCCTTCCTCACCCTACCTCATTGAATTAAGGACAAAGCCAAGTGCAACCTTTTACGGGGGCTGGCGTTTTTTGAGGTTGAGATTCTAAAGGTGCAAGGTGCATTGACTTACATCCGTTGTTTTAGTTGTTTGAATTGCAATCATCCCTATCATGCCCATCATTTGCTAGTGAAATCCCGAGGCCAACTGCGACAAATGCGACGGCCCGCACCTAACAGAGAGGCAAATATCGGAACCATGAAACATGGTCTTAAGATGTCTTAAGTATGAAGCAGCATTTTAAATCCCCACATTGACGTGTTGGGTTTTTGTTTTTAGTTCTGTATCCGGCCGCCGCCTCCCGTCCTCCTTTCTCCTCCCTCACTCACACTCACTCACTCTCTCTCTCTCTCACTCTCATTTCACTCTCACTCTCACTCTCACTCTCACTCTCACTCTCACTCTCACACTCACTCTCACTTTCACTCTCACTTTCACTCTCACTCTCACTCTCACTACTCGCACTCGCACTCGCACTCCTACTCGCACTCCTACTCGTACTCCTACTCGCACTCCTACTCGCACTCGCACTCGCACTTGCACTCGCACTCGCATTCACACTCGCATTCACACTCACTCTCACACTCACTCTCACACTCACTCTCACACTCACTCTCACACTCACTCACACTCACACTCACATTCACATTCACACTCACACTCACTCTCACTCTCACTCTCACTCTCACTCTCACTCACACTTACTCACTCTCACTCACTCACACTCACTCACTTACATTCACTCACTCACACTCACCCACTCACCCTCACTCACTCTCACTCACTTGGCAGGCGCAGCACTTGGTGCTCTGCAAGGGGTCGGATGTACGCCCTGGCGTCCCTCGGTCTCCGCTGCTTTTTGCGTGGCAGGCGCAGCACTTGCTGCTGTGCAAGGGGTCGGGTGTACGCCCTGGCGTCCCTTGGTCTCCGCCGCTCTGCCGGTGGCTTTGCGAGGCAGGCGCAGCACTTGCTGCTCTGCAAGGGGTCGGATGTACGCCCTGGTGTGCCTCGGTCTCCGCCGCTTTGCCGGTAGGTTTTGCGTGGCAGGCGCAGCACTTGGTGCTCTGCAAGGGGTCGGATGTATGCCCTGGCGTCCCTTGGTCTCCGCTGCTTTTTGCGTGGCAGGCAGCACTTGCTGCTCTGCAAGGGGTCGGATGTACGCCGTGGCATCCCTTGGTCTGCGCCGCTCTGCCGGTAGCTTTTGCTGGTCTGCGCCGCTTTGCCGGTAGGTTATGCGTGGCAGGCGCCGCACTTGGTGCTCTGCACGGGGTCGAATGTACGCCCTGGCGCCCTCGGTCTCCGCTGCTTTTTGCGTGGCAGGCGCAGCACTTGCTGCTCTGCAAGGGGTCGGATGTACGCCCTGGCGTCCCTTGGTCTCCGCCGCTTTGCCGGTAGGTTTTGCGTGGCAGGCGCAGCACTTGGTGCTCTGCAAGGGGTCGGATGTATGCCCTGGTGTCCCTCGGTCTCGGTGGCTTTGCCGGTAGGTTTTGCGTGGCAGGCGCGGCACTTGGTGCTCTGCAAGGGGTCGGATGTACGCCCTGGCGTCCTTGGGTCTCCGCCGCTCTGCTCTGCGCAGGTCATGCTCTTCAGAAGCACGGCACGGCGATGTATCAATTCAGCTCATCCAGATTGATTGCTTGTCAGCTTATCATGGCTTCTTTATTCATGACTTGTCTGCTCAGGTCATCATGCTGGTCTATGGCACTTGGACCACTCACTCTCATTCACTCACTCCCTCTCACTCCCTCTCACTCCCTCTCACTCCCTCTCACTCCCTCTCACTCGCTCACTCGCTCACTCCCGGCCTCCCTCTCACTCTCTCACTCTCTCACTCTCTCACTCTCTCACTCTCTCACTCTCTCACTCTCTCACTCTCTAACTCTCTCACTCTCTCACTCTCACTCTCTCACTCTCTCACTCTCTCACTCTCTCACTCTCTCACTCTCTCACTCTCACTCTCTCACTCTCTCACTCTCTCACTCTCTCACTCTCTCACTCTCTCACTCTCTCACTCTCTCACTCTCTCACTCTCTCACTCTCTCACTCTCTCACTCCACTCACTCCACTCACTCCACTCACTCCACTCACTCCACTCACTCCACTCACTCCACTCACTCCACTCACTCCACTCACTCCACTCACTCCACTCCCTCCACTCACCACTCCTCCACTCACTCCACTCACTCCACTCACTCCACTCACTCCACTCACTCACACTCCCTCCACTCACTCACTCCCTCACTCACTCACTCACTCACTCACTCACTCCACCCACTCACTCACTCACTCACTCACTCACTCACTCACTCACACTCACTCCTCACTCACTCACTCACGCACTCACTCACTCACCACTCCGCACTCACGCACGCACGCACTCACGCACCACGCACGCACTCACGCACTCACGCACTCACGCACTCACGCACTCACGCACTCACGCACTCACGCACTCACTCACTCACGCACGCACTCACACTCAACTCACTCACTCTCACTCACTCACTCACTCACTCACTCACTCACTCACTCACTCACTCACTCACTCACTCACGCACACACGCACACACGCACTCACTCTCACACTCACTCACTCACTCACTCACTCACTCACTCACTCACTCACTCACTCACTCACTCACTCACTCACTCACTCACTCACTCACTCACTCACTCACACTCACACTCACACTCACTCTCACACTCACTCTCACTCTCACTCTCACCCTCACCCTCACCCTCACCCTCACTCTCACTCTCACTCTCACTCTCACTCTCACTCTCACTCTCACTCTCACTCTCTCTCTCACTCTCACTCTCACTCTCTCTCAACTCTCAACGCTCACTCTCACTCACTCACTCACTCACCCACTCACTCACTCACTCACTCACTCTCTCTCTCTCTCACTCTCTCTCTCTCTCTCACTCACTCTCACTCACTCTCACTCACTCTCACTCCCTCCCTCTCACTCCCTCCCTCTCACTCCCTCCCTCTCACTCCCTCCCTCCCTCCCTCCCTGTTCCTCCCTCCCTCCCTCACTCTCACTCGCACACTCTCCCTCACTCACTCACACACACCACACTCACATCACTCACTCACAGTCTCACTCACTCACCTGTGCATGCACGTACATACACACACACACAAACTCACCCACCATCACCCCTCCATCACCCTCATACTTCCTCTTCCCTTCTTGCTTTTCTATGCTCAGTCTAAGTCTAGACAAGTTGGTAACATGTGGGGTTATCCGGTCCTACAATGATTGTTTTGGAAGAATTTCAGTGATTTGGCAGGTGCCCGCACTTCCAAAAGAGCGCGAAAAGCACAAGTATGCATGGGTTGGGAGCCCAAAGGCGACTTCAGCGGATCTGCTGATCGCGCCCCATACATGTGCATACCAAGGTAAACTACGGCAACTGCCACGAGATGGGACGAAGTGGCGGGAACTTCGTCCTGCGGCCCGTCCCTCAAAGCAGAACCAACGTTTGGAACATTTTGGAACATCTTTTGCACCGATGTTTTTCTTCTTCCATTGTGTGTCCGTACTGCTCAACGGATGTCAGGAATGCAAGAGTCATCACCCAGCTGGAAATGGAAATGTTCGAGGAGGTTCCATAAATGGTGGCATGTAAGTTGGTAAATTTGTAAGTAAGGGGTCAGTTCACATCAGTTTCAAATCGGACAGTTTTTGAGTTTGCGGCCAAAATTCAGATAGTTGGTCACGGTGAACTTATCCATGTTTATCCCATGTTCCATCCCTCATCCCTATTGTTTCTTGATTCATCTTGATTGACATTTTTGCAGAACCATATTAGTGGAGTATGGTAATGGTGGTATTTTCCCAAAATTTCCACACAATCCCGCCATACCATAATCCGCTCCGGTTCCTGGACTTGATGTTGAGGTCTCGGTCTCCGGAATGCCAGAACGCTCCGATGCGAACTGGCACGGAGACACGCTGAAGGACAGAAGTTCGCTGTTGCGGCCGGACCTTTTTGAACAAGATCGGGCTCAGCGATTGCATGGAGATGTATATGGACCCGTTCGGGCTTCGAGCATGCATGGGGGCCACCGTGACCACGCTCGGGCTCAGCATGTGCATGGCGATCTTTGTGGTCAAGCTCGGGCCTCGCAGATGTTTGATGAACAACGAGGACAAGCTCGGGCTTTGCATGTGCATGGAGATTTATGTGGACAAGATCGGGCCTTGCATCTTCAAGGCGGTGGAGCTGGACACGATCGGGCTGCATTTGGTGGGGATGGGACAAACCTACATCAAAGTGGAGATCCAGCTTTTTGCCACCTTCCTGGTCATGGTGTGGGGGGAGGTGGATGTGGAGAAGGAAAGCCGGGCAGACCCTTTGCGCCCTGGCCTGAAAACGCTGGCACCACCATGAACGCGAAAGGTGAGTTGCCGGAGTTGCCACCCAATTCAAGTCCTCCTCAGTTTGGGGATTGGCTGCATCTCATTGCACCGTCCATGAAGGATATATCCAGTGTGGCGGGCTGGTGGTGGGAGAACACGCTGAGGGAAGCGCAGTGCTACTATGCCCAGTGGAAGGACAGCACTCCGTTGCAGCGTATCAGAATCCAGCCAGTTTTGCCGGATGCCATACGACATCATCAGCTCCAGAGGACGGAGCAACGGGGCATTCAAATGCTTTTGAAAGCCATCCCTGAGACGGAGCAACAGGCGCTGGTCACAGAAAGAGCGCTGTCTACAACAGCGATACTTTTCAGGCTGTTGGTGAGATTTCAGCCAGGTGGAGCAGGCGAGAAGCAGATCTTGCTTCAACAGCTGACGACGATGCCAAAGTCGTCAAACGTGCAGGACTTAGCTGCGAACCTGCGGAACCGGAGATGCCATTTCGGAAGAGCTCAGGAGGTTGAAGCCGTGCTACCTGATGGAATTCTACTTCTGAAAGCACTTGATGGGCCTCAACAACAGCTAGGCCAGTACGATCCTCAGGCAGCCTTTCGTCTCAGTCGGAGTCGAATGCAACTTCAACTTGACCAACAACCGAGCCATCCGAACTTGTGGGCATTTAGCCAATGTTTGCTGGCAGAGGCTGAAACGCTCTCCTTGCTTTCCAGCACTTCTACGACAACGGTGCCTCTCAAGATCAAGCAGTTGGAGGGTGACTTGAAGTCTCCAGGCAAAACGGCTACGGGCGACTTGAAACCAAAAACAAGTCCGTCATGTCGGTTTTTTCAATCAGACACAGGATGCAAAGCTGGCAAGACTTGCAAGTGGCAACACACTCGGATCAGCGACTCCGACAAGGCCACTCGGTGCTTCATCTGCGGCAGCAAAGAGCACAGGAAGGCGGACTGCAAACTCAAGGCTGGTGGGAAGAAGCTCAATGAGCCGAATGGCTCAGGGGGAGGAAATGGTCATGGCAGAGGACATGATGGTGCTGCCTCGACTTCAACATCTTCCACTTCCAACTTGGGTGGCAAAGCCGGTGCTGCAGCTGCGAAGGTGTTCAACGCGGCAAGTGGTGAAGTTGGAGCTGGAGCTGGTGATGGAAAAGGAGCCGGATCTGCGGCTGAGATGACATCTTCTACAACCACTGCAATGGCTGACGAGGGCAAAAGTAGTGGGGGGAGTGGAGGAGATGCTACAGTTGCAAAGAGCGACAAGGCCAATGAACTCTTGCATGAGGCCACTCAGCTTCTCAAGACCTTGTGTGTGAGCCCAGCCAATCCAAGATTGAAGGTCATGCAAATCAGTGATCTTGAACAAGTTGAAGAAAATATGGTTTTGATTGACTCAGGGGCAACACATGGTCTTCGTCCTGCTCATGATGAAGGAGGATGGCGCTATGCAGAGCGCACAGTGGTCCAACTGGCCAATGGCTCAACGGAGGCTTTCCGGTTGAAGAAGGGCACGAAGATTCTCCTTGGCCATCCTTCGGAGTCTACGGCAAGAATTGTCCCTATGAGCGGCCTCAGTGATTTGGACTTTGCACTGGAATGGCGAGATGGACAATGCAGGCTCCAAGATGATGAAGGACGACAAATACCTGTCACTCTGAGACATGGATGTCCAATGCTGGAAAGAAATGAGGGTGACAAGATCCTTCAATGTTTGGAGTTCTATCAAGTGTATCAACAAAGGAAGTTGGCGGTGGTCAAGACCATGATGATGGACGACAGCTTGGTCGACAAGTCCAATCTTTCTTTGGACCTGGCAATGACTTTGAAAATGCGCCAGGAGTTTCCAGAGCTTCCGGATCACATAATGATGAAGTTGATCCCGCACTTGGACGTGGTTCAAACTGAAGGCTTCGGTGCCAAGCTGCCCTGGAACAGACATAAGCGCAGAAAGTTGGACAAGGCCAAGAACATCATTTTGCATCTCTTCTCAGGTGCTGACAAGAAGTACTGGGACAAGCAGTGCTCTACGGCAACTACGGAGGTCTTGTGCATTGACACATCTGGCTTGACGCCTGCCAACTCGCATGATCGCAATGTGTTTGGCTATCTCCTGTCGTTGTGTGCATCTGGAAGGGTGAAGGCGATCTTGGCTGGCCCCCCATGTCGAACGGTCTCGGCACTGAGATACCAAAATGATGGTGGCCCAGGCATCCTCAGAACTGATCAGCATCCTTATGGACTTCCAGATCTATCAGCCGCGGATGCAGAGTTGGTGGAGGGAGACGTGATTCTTTGGTTTCGGATGTTGGCTTTGTATGTGCTCGCGGAAGATGTCCGACCTCCTGAAGAACCTCAAACTCAACTGGTGGTTGAACAACCTGAAGACCCTGCGAGGTATCGAAAACCTGAGGATGTGGAGGAGCACAAGTACATGTCAGCGTTTCGGACCAAAGAGTGGCGTGACTTCCAGGACCACTACAAGATCTGGATGGTTCACTTTGATCAACATCCAATGGGGCACACCAAGAAGAAGCCCACAACCTTGGCCACCACAATAGAGGAACTTGGTCAACTGCGAGAGCTTCGTGGAGATCCAGCTGATGCTCAACAAGCTGCTCAGGAGTTCAAACAACTTCCCATGGAGCAGAGATGCCAAGTGTCAAAGACTTGGGCAAGCTGGGCCCCTGGCCTGAAGATGGCAATTGCGACAGCCGTCAACAACTACATCCAGAAGCTCGAGAAGGACCATGAATCTCCCAAGCAGCCAGGCCTTAGACCTTTGACTCAGGTGGCTCTTGAAGCTTGGAAGAACCACTTCTTGCACAACCACTTGCCGTGACTGTGCACATTGCATTCGAGCTCAGGCCAGATCAAGACCTCACCGGAAGGTGACACACCCAGAGGCCTACACGCTGTAAGTGGATTTGTCTGGAAGAATGACAGCTGGCCAAGATCAAAAGCATCAACGATGCAAATACCTGATGGTGGCGTGCTACACGTTCCCGGTGACTGGTGATGGCAGACCTCTGGTACGGCCACCTGGAGCTCCACCAGAAGATCAAGATCAACCTCTGCCGTCGATGGATTTACACGGAGGGGAAGATCAAGCTGGGCATCCTCTGCCGTCGATGGATTTACCCGGAGGGGATGCAGCAGCAAATTAATGTACATGGAGTTCCTGATGATGAGGACGTTTTGATGGATGAAGAGGGTGACCAGCCACCAATGCCGGAGGACTCACAAGATCCACCCGAACCAGCAGATCCTCTTCGTGAAGAAGCTCCGCTACCATCTCCTCCTGATGGCCCACAAGAACATGCTATGAGAGGAGCTGATGAGGTGTGGCATCGAATGATTGAAGAAGCCACCGATGTTGGGGTCAAGAATCTGACCTTTGTGGAGCTACTGGGCTCACGGTCTGTGAGCGAAGTGATGCCTGCACTAGTTCTACGTCTCCATTGCGACAGAGCTCGAGATCTGGTGGCTGCCCCAGTCCGACGTTGGACTTTGGATCGAGGGATCATCACAACCCTCACATCAAGATCCTCTTACAAAAGCAACGGCCGTATGGAGTCGGAGGTGGGATCTACAAAGCGTGGCATCAAGACGCTCATCTCAGCGGGGCTGTGTCCCTCAGAGTACTGGCCCCTGGCTGCCAGACACATTGGAGAAAGACGGCTTCGAAATCAGCTGAAAGGAGTTGGATGGCCTGCATCTCCAATGCTGCGGTTTGGCAGCAAAGCATTTGCCTTGCGCAAATCATGGCAAGAGCGCTACACGGATTGGAGAGATGCCAGAGAGGAGGTGGTAGTCATGGGACCTGACAAGTTTTCATCATTGACTACAACAAGTTACTATGTGAAGTCCCTCGCAACTGGCAAGTTCTTCTACACTGATGATGTTGTGCAGCCAGCGGCAGATGCTCCTCAAGAACTTTCAGAAGAGTCACAGGCGATCTACCTTGAAGAACTTGGTGACCGAGCATCTCCACCGATGTGGTCTGGCACACCTACTCGCAGACTGCGGGGCAAAACTACAGTGCCAGCGATTTCGATGGTGTCCGTCGAGGGGGAGGACAAGGGTCAGGTTTGTCAAACACACCCACAAACGGTTGGTTCTTCACAGGTTGGATCAGGTTCTTTTTATCATGTTCCTGAATGGTTGCAAAATCATTTTGAATTGGAAAGTGTAACGGGTAGCGATGAAGAAAGTTGGTGTCTAAGAACAGATTCAGAAGAGACCTCAGCAAGCTCACGAGATCGGACACCGTCCATGCAGTCCGATGTGATTGAGTATGGAGGTGGGGAGAAGGAGGAGGCGCCTAACGACCGGGCTGGTGGCGCATACCCGGTGGCCTCAAGTATGGTTGGAGTTGCAGCGCTTCGGTGTTTGCATAGCAATCTGGGCATCTACATCGAGAACGAGTATGCCAAGCTGGATGCAACATCGGATGAACAGGCGATGTGGATTGGTGCATTGACTGACGCCATCAAAATGAAGGCGATAATTGAGCACCCACTGCAAGAAGCTCAGGAGCTTGAATGTCAGCGGGCGACTCAGAACCTTGAGAAGGAATTTCTGGTTACCAAGACCATCAGCAACTCTGAAGTTTGGTCTCATCTGAACGACTGGGAAGCATCCATCAGAGCGGAGTTCCAGCAGCTGGTCAATACAAAACAGGCAGTTCGTCAGGTGTCCAAAAGTGAGCTGCATCGGCTGGCAAATAAAGCTGGGTTGCCAATTGAGCTCCTGCCGGAAAATGGTGCACACCAGAAAAGCTGGTTCAGGAGCTTATCGCTCTCGTGCAGTGGTATGCGGAAACTGCCAAGAATCAGGTGGTGATGAGCGCTATGCTGGTGGGGCCGATGGCAATCAGATTCGAGCTCAAGTACGTCTTGCTGGACTGAAAGGATGGTCAATCTGCGGAACTGACATCAGAGTGGCCTTTCTCAATGCACCAAAACGTGATGAGACAAAGATCACGGCGATGGAGGCGCCAACAGTGTTTCGCAAACTTGGACTTGCTGGCCCTGAAGATGTCTGGATCATCCAGAAAGCAGTGTGCGGCTTGACAAGCTCACCTCGTGACTGGTGTTTCTATAGAGACGAAACACTTCCAACTATGACTTGGCGGAGGTATCGTGAAGGGCTGGAAGTGGAAGGACACTTTGTCCGAACTCCTGATGACAATGTCTGGAGACTGGAGGAGGTGAACCAGAAAACGGGGGAGAAGCTGTGGACTGGCCTTATGTCAGTGTCCGTGGATGATCTTCTGATCTCTGCTGAAGATGGAGCTGCTGACAGTGCCATCAAGGCCATTGCTGATGTTTGGGCCATTTCTGAGGTTGAGAAGGCGGAGGTTGAACGACCTGTCAAGTACTGCGGTATTGAGGCGGCTTTGGATCAAGATGGATTCATTCTCACACAGAGAAAGTATGAGCAGGAGATGCTTCAACGATGGAACGTGACCAAGTCCATCGAGTACCCCAACTTCAAGCTGAGCGAAAGCGATGAAGATCCTGCTGATCCCATTGACTCAGAGCCAGATCAAAACAGCCCAGGCGATAGCTGGTGCGTTGCTTTGATTTGGTTGAACACCCGCACCAGACCTGACATCTCGGTTGGAGTGTCGGCTGTATGCAGACTTGCTACAAAAAACCCTGCCAAATCGATCGAGATTGACATGCTTGTGATGGCCTACATCCACGGAAATCCTGGAGGTCTTCGATACCCCCGAGGAGTCCCCAAAGAAATTTGGGGTGAAAGACAACAGTTGAAGATTGCCCGAAACGTCAAGCTCCTCGAGGTCTTCTCGGACATCGCCTATGGCACGGGCTCCAGGGGACGCAGTGTTCAGGGGATGGCCATTTACTTTGGTGGATGCATCATCAGCTGGCAGACATCTATCCAGCCATTCGCGACGCATTCGACGGCCGAGAGTGAGCTGGTGGCATACTGCGATTCTTCGAATGCTGGACGGTCTGCTGAGGCGATGCTTTCTTCAATGATGGGCATCCAGACCGGGAGCAACGAGATAGAAAGAGTGCTCTATGGAGACAACGTTGCTGCGATCGGTCTGGCCCATGGAACAAGCAGCTCGTCGTGGAGGACGCGACATCTGAAGATCCGAGCGGCGTATCTTCGTGAAGCTCTTGAGGGAAGAGCGCCTGGTGGCATCTGGCGCTTACTGCATCTACGTGGGTCAGAGCTGGTGGCAGACGGCTTGACGAAGCCACTTCTTGGCCAGGCATTTGCAGCCTTCCTGAGGGACTTGGGGATGCCAAGACAACATGAAAATGAAGAAGGTGAAGAAACACACAGCCAAAGTGCAGCTGTGATGGCGATGATTGCAGGAAGTCTTTTTACTTTCTGGAGTTGATGCGGAGGAGGAGATCACGGGTGACACCACGTCTGAGGTCATTTGGACCTGTGGAGCAGTGCTCATGGCTCTGGGTGCAATCTATGCAGGACAGCTGGCATTTAGCGGAGTGCGATGATGCTTGAGACGATTGCGTGAGCTGCCGCGCTGTCGAGATGAGGATAGGCGCTCTGATCTTCAAGAACAAGCACCTGCAGTTGGTGTTGGTGGGACTTCTGTGAAGATTCATCATGATGGGAGCTCTATGTCCAATCCGAGCTCTACTTCATTGAATATAAGCATACAGTCGGGCTTGCAGCAGCGAGGCGCTTCTTCGAGCAGTGCTGACGTGGTGAGATCTAGGGCTGCTGTTGGTGTAATGGGCGCTGCGAAGCCAGCGCGTCGGGCTCAGCATTTGCGGCTGCTGGTGGTGAGCGAGCTGCGGAGCTGGCTAGGACCTCTTCCTCTACTGCGTCGGGCTCAGCATCTGCCGCTGCAGTGAGAAAGGCATCGAACTCTCTGAAGGAGAGGAAGTCAAACCCCTGGAACCAATTCCAACATGAGTACCGGGGTAAGGGTTTTTCAAAGGCCACACTGGCCAAATTGTACAAGCACCAAAAGGACAAAGCTAAGATGCCTTGAGCCTTGCCATTTCATTGGCGATCTTTCCAGGCTGCCGTGATGGAACATGGCAGCTGAATCTTCAGCTTCAGCTGGGGGGAGTCTGACACTCTCCGAATCTGATTACCTTTAGGCATTTTTGTCCAAGAAAACGGTGTGGTAGTTTGTGGATTTTGGGTGAAGGGTGTATTTAAGCGCTATCTAGCACTTCGTGGCCAAAGAGTTTTGTCATTCGTGGGTCTTTGTGGGAAGAAACAGCTATGTGTGAAAACTGCAAATTGCGCATGCAAACAAGCGTGTGAGCTTTAGCCTGTGGTGGGTGTGGTGGGTCAGGGTCTGCATTGCCTGAGAGTCCTTCACAAGCTCTACTGTGACCATGTTTTTGCTAGCGGGGGGAAAACCGGCCAATATTTTCTTCATTTTTATGTGCCCCTGACAAGGAAAACAGCTACGCCCTGGAATTCCATGCATAATTTCCTTTTTTCTCTTTCATGCGCAGCACATGTATATCAACATAAATATTTAGCTAGGTTCAAGATAGGTGGTAGAGGCCTTAAGTAAGATCCAAACATGTCTGGTACGTATGGCTGGTAGGTTTGGTTTTCTTGGTACGGTACGGTTGGTATATGTGGTACGGTACGGTTGGTACGGTTGGTACGCTTGATAAGGTACGTTTGGTACGCTTACCAACCGTACCGACCGTACCAGTGAACCGTACATAACCGTACCACCGTACCGTACCAGATTAAGGGAGGGGTCAAGGGGGGGGCGTTTTGGATGTAACAATACTACTTTAGTATTGGTACATCCAAAACGCCCCCCCCTTGACCCCCCCCTTAATCTGGTACGGTACGGTGGTACGGTTATGTACGGTTCACTGGTACGGTCGGTACGGTCGGTACGGTTGGTAAGCGTACCAAACGTACCTTACTAAGCGTACCAAGCGTACCTACCCAAAGCGTACCAAGCGTACCAAGCGCACCAAGCGTACCAAGCGTAGCGTACCTATCTTATAGCTGGATATCAAGCACCTATCTTGAACTTAGATAAATAAATATCACCATCTTCCAACATGAGAACATATGTGGGGGTGGGGGGGCATGTTTACGTTGGGTTCATGTTGCGTTGGAACGGCACCATCAACATATCATCATCAACATATCATCATCCACACATCCACACATCAGACACCAAAACAAATGTCTGATGACTGCGACTGCCAAACAACTGGCGAAAGTGTGCAGAAGGTGAAAAGAGAAAATGCCATGTTGCGCGACAAGGGGTCTCAGAACCTAGGCGAAACGCACGTTTTCAACAAAACAGGACCAATTTAGACCTCGTTTTCTGAATCATCAAAGACCTCTTTTCTATTGGCAGGCCCAATGGATTATGACTTTTCATGTTGAAAGTATCGTCCGGAGAGCCCCCCGCACGGATGTTTTTGGCATGTGGGCGTGTTGAGCCGATGCTGCACCTATTTTGGGCCAAGGTCTGATGATATTGCCAGCGAGGAGAAGATCCGAAGTGGCTCCTGCGAGAGTGTCGTGCTATGTCGTGCTGGTGGCTGTCGCTGTTAAATAAAGCCGTTAGAGGGAGCCTCACCCTCAATATTTTTGTAAATAATAAATATATATATACTATATGTACATATATGTTGGTTGGCTTCCTTGATGATGGATTTGTTATATACAGCTGTTGAACATCTCAATTTTTTCTTATCATTATCATCCAATGTAATTAGTCATGTTGCATATGATGTGGTACGCCAACTAGTAAACCGTGCCCCATGCACCCCTTTCTTTTTTTCCCCATTTTGCCAGCTGGAGTCAAAACTTTACCTTTTCGGGAGTCACTATAGGGTTTACCACATTACCAGTTTCAGATTGTTGGAAGATTCCCTTACTTTTTGTTTGACTATTATGCTGTACCCCAAATCCCTTGCGCTATGGAATCGTACTCTTCATGATTTGACCATTTTGACATGAGACAAACCCAGCCCTTCCTTTTTTTTTGGTTGTTGTTGTTGTTGCAGTCATCCTTGTCCTTGTCCTCGTCGTCCTGATTCGACTTGACATCGTTTACAGGAACGATTACATGACGCACCGCAACAACCCCTGGATTTCATGGTGAAAGTCCGGCCATTTTGCAAAATATCTCACAATGAGACCCTTAATGGCAATAAGACATTATTGGAAATCCCCCAGATCAATTAGATGATTTACATCTACCATCTACCGTATATTGATTTGCGTGCAGCTTTAGTTGGTGACTGCCAGCTAGCCGAGATTACCAGAAAGATCGGAAAGTAAGTTAGTTTTGAGGTGTTGTTTAAATCAACTTCTTGGTTGTTTAAAGCCTGGTTTTTGCTGGTGAAATTTCTGAACTCCACGAAAGTGGCCGGATTTTGCGTGGCTTCACCGCTGCCAGGTGACGTGGCCAGTCGTGCGGCCATCGCTCTGACGCATGCAGAGTCGAAAGCGGATGTATCTGGGCAATCTTGGGCACCTGGTTGCTTGCTTGCTTGGTTGGCTACTGTTCATGCGGATGAAGAGTGAGTTTTTTTGCCAAGATTTGACCAACCTGAATGGGATACATAGCATCAACGAATAAGGATTTCAGCACCAACTATGACATGATATGGGATGTCTATGGGATTATTCTCGGAAAATATTGGATACAGTTGCAGTAAGTTATTTTTTAAGAAATCAAGTTTCTTTTGAGGGGATATAGAGCCAACATGAGCCAACAAATATGATCTGGGTGTGTCTGAAAATAGGTCTTGGTTTATTTTCCAGAAAAGATAAAGGGGAATTCATCCGACATTTTCTTAGGGGTCGACATACCAACATATACTAATCCCTTCCCCCTAATCGAAGGAAGTTTAGAAGTCAAACTTCCGACAATATGGACAGATGAAAAGCAGAGATGGAAAGGGTCAGAGAGAAGAGAAAGATTAGAAGAGAGAAGAGTAGAAGAGAAAGAGTCAGAAGAAAGAAGATGCAGATGCGCGAAAAGGTAGGAAAGTCGCGAAACACTGTGTTTTTCAAATGATTTGTGGCTCCGGAGGATCGAAAAGTAGGCTTGCTAAAGCGGCGGGTGCGGAGCCAGCTGGCCAGATGAGAGATGAAAAATTGCACGCCGTTGTGGCGCGAAGCACATTTCCAAGCCAAAATGTACAAAACACACCACGTTCGGACCACTTTTGGAAGTTCAGATGTCGAAAAAGTGCACGCCGTTGTGGTGCGAAGCACATTTCCAAGTCAAAATGTACAAAGCACCTCAGCGTCGGACCACTTTTGGAAGTTGCGATGTCGAAAAAGTGCACGCCGTTGTGGCGCGAAGCACATTTTGACAAAACACCGCAGCGTCGGACCACTTTTGGAAGTTGAGATGTCAAAAAAGTGCACGCCGTTGTGGCGCGAAGCACATTTCGAAGTCAAAATGTGCAAAGCACTACATGTTCGGACCACTTTTGGAGGTTCAGATGTCGAAAAAGTGCACGCCGTTGTGGCGCGAAGCACATTTCCAAGCCAAAATGTACAAAGCACCACATGTTCGCGCCACTTTTGGAGGTTCGGATGTTGAAAAAGTGCACGCCGTTGTGGCGCGAAGCACATTTCGAAGTCAACATGTTAAAAACACTAGGGGTTCGGGCCACTTTTGGAGGTTCAGATGTTGGTTCGCTTCGCTTCGCTTCACTAGATTCCACTACATTACACTACACTACACTCTACTACACTACACTACATTACACTACACTACACTCCACTACAACTACAACTACACAACTACACTCCACTACACTCCACTGCACTCCACTACACTAAATTACACTACACTACACTACACTACAGTACACTACACTACACTCCACTACACTACACTACACTACATTACACTACACTACACTACACTACATTACCTTCCACTACACTTCACTACACTCCACTACACTACACTGCACTACACAACAACTACGCTACACTCCACTACACTACAGTACACTACACTCCACTACACTCCACTCCACTACACTACACTTCACTACATTACACTACACTACACTACACTCCACTACACTACAACTACAACTACAACTACACAACTACACAACTACACAACTACACTCCACTCCACTACACTACACTCCACTACACTACACTACATTACACTACACTCCACTACACTACACTACACTACACTACACTACACTCCACCACACTATATTACACTACACTTCACTACATTACACTACACTACACTCCACTACACTGCACTACATTACACTACACTACCTTCCACTACACTTCGCTACATTACACTACACTACACTCCACTACATTACAACTACAACTATAACTACAACTACACAACTACACTCCGCTACACTCCACTACACTAAATTACACTACACTAAATTACGCTACACTACACTACATTCCACTACACTACACTACATTCCACTACACTCCACTACACCACACTACATTACACTGCACTACATTACACTCAATGACACTGCACCACAGATAGACAGGTAGACAGATAGATAGATAGATAGA